ACGTGGTTGCAGAGCTACCGGGATTTAAAAATAGTTACGCAAAACGGAGCGTGCCCGCTCCGACCGGCTTTAAAGGGTTAAAAAGCTGCTGTCTAACTCCAACTGAGGTTTTAGGCTTCATGAGGCAGCGAACACAAAGAAAAGATACTTTTCCATTTATGGATCAATTTTCTGATACTTTTTTTCTTTCAGTTGCCGTCCTTTCTCTTTTCGTTTCTCTTAATGCAGGCAAAAGCTTGTGCAATTAAATTTAAAGAACTCATCTTTTTGCCCACATCGTCTAGAAAGTCTTGCTCCTCAAGCAAACAGCAGCTGAATGGCCAATCTAGCAGAATCCCCTAAGAACTTGCTATCATTTCATCATTATTCAATCATACAGCTTGATTCACTGAACACAGATTCAGGTGCTGGAAATACTTCCCAGGACATTTCTTCGAGATTGACAACAGAGCTGGTGCAGTAAATGCAAATGTCCCATCACATCCCAAAGCTGCTCTATTTGGATCTGGTGACTGTTTAGGCCATCTGAGTACAGTGGACTCATCGTAATATCTGAGCTGATATGAGATGGTGTTATCCTTCTGGAAGCAGCCATCAGTGCTGTCATAAAGGGATGCTCTTGTGCATATCTTGGTTGTAACAAGTGGTTACTGACTTCTTCTTGCATTCCTAACAGCACAAAGCAGACTCGCCATTCTTCCCTGACCTCTGACAACAGCAAGGCTTTTTCTCCCAGGGGAATACCCAGGAAATTATGCTTAATGCACTAAATTCATACCATGTGATTGGCTGATTTAAGAATTCCCATTCAAATGCAGTTAAACAATTGTACGTAATTGTACCCAATTAAGTGGACAATTAGTGTATCTTAGGAAAATCTGAGATCATGTATTAGAAGAACTAAAAAAAGATGCATCTGTGCACTGAAGGTGTTTTTGCAAAGGACGATGAACACTGTTTTATACCAAACAAATGCTGAGAGTGTAAAAAATGTCGTTTATAAATACAAAAGCTCATCTTTTGTTTACTTTAAAACTGACCACAGATGCACCGATCAGCCAGGGACAAGAATCTTCACCATGTTTTGGGCCTTGACCAGTGACCGGCCAGTCAGCCTCGCATATATGATTATGAACCATTTGATTTTAAGCATGCACACCACTTGCTCAGCAGCACAATGTCGCTCACACATTCACAGAACAAGCTAACGTGTGGTTAGCGTGGAAGCTCTTAGCTGTGAGTGCAGAAACAAAGTCAACTGCAAAAATGTGCGTGACAACAAACCTAATCAGACACTAAATCACGTTCACTCAGCTGAACATGGACACTTTAAAGATGATAACAAAGTGGATAAAATTAACAACATCCAGAGCTCAGAGGCAGCTGAAAGCTAGCCTCGTGATGAGGACTGAAGAAGGTTAAAGGTCAATTGGGGAGACGCATTGATTTCCTGTTATATGCTGAAGTTATTAACATCTGATGGTAAATGATGGAAGCACTTGACGTTTGTTTTGTTACAAAAATCTTTGCACTTGCTTTTGTCTGGTGAGGTAAAGGTGGGAGGGTGTACACCAGCTTGTTTTCTC